TATCCCAGGCAAACTCCATGGGCCCATGAAAAACATTTGCTTGACCAGGACAGGGAGTATAGAAACCCTCCCTACAATCCAACTCATCAGCATGCATATCCAAAGTATTCCCCAGAAAATCCATCCAACCAAAGAAGAGGTAATGCCCCATACACGGAAATTAACCCATGGATCCCAGAAGAACATTCTCCACCATATGCTGCAGAGCACTTGAGGCAAACAGAAAATATCCCTTACCGTAGGAACAATGAATTTGGACACCGAGAGAGGAATTTTCCAAATGAAGGAGCAAACTCTCCACCACAAAGCACCACACTTCTCCAAGGAGGATCACGGTACCCAGAAAGAGACACTTGGAGCCCTCACAGGATGGGGCCTTCCATTCAGAAAGAAGCTTCACCCTATTTTAATAGCTATTCCCCGGATTCCAGAAGAAACCCAACACATATGGAAGACGCAGGGGGTGCTCACATTTCCAGTGTTAACACTGCAGAAAGAAGAAATTATCCCGACAGACTGGGATACCCAGATGACTACCCAAGAGAGCAGAGAACAATCACCTCATACCCAACTGCCAACCGTTTATGCTGTGCAGGCGATTCTTCGGTGCCAAGAGGAAACTCACTGGCTCCACTAAGAAGTGCTTCTCAGTTCAGACTTGCATCGTGGGAACAAAGAGGAAGTTCACTATATCCAGAGGCCAAAGGTGACCATATTAAGCAAGCTAGCCACATATTGTACCCGTCCGGTATGCAATCTTCACTGAAGACTGATAAAAGCCCACCTAATCAAAGAGAAAATCTGGGTGTGTTTGGAGAGGATGTAGCGGGTCTGGAGAAGGCCCCACCCTGCTCCAAATCACAATTAGGCCAAGAGAACGGGCATGAAGTCCACCATGGAAACGGCTTAGCACCAACTAGGAATACACCTTGTTATGGAAGAAGCATCCGAGGGGATGGGCACAGTATCCTTGAACGGATCATTCAGCCCAAAAGAGACCATGAAAGGGCAGCTGCAGTCAAGTTTGTCCCTCAAAAAGGCCCACCAGCACATGGGATCAAAAGTGTAGCTTTCGATAGTGAAGACAGCAGGAAAGAACAGCAGGCAGTGCTTGGGTTCAAGAGGATCCCATGTTTGTTAAACCGGTTAAAGCAGTTTTTATCCAGCACAGGAGCTCCATCTGGTGACACACAGCAAGATCTATTTTATGCAGAGAATCCTGCACTCATTGGACAATCCTACGTCATATTGCCCGAGCCACATCCCCTGTCCAGCACTGATCCTTCTTATGACACAGAAGAGAAACCCTTAACGCCCAGTTCTCTGGGAGAAGATCTGGCTGATCAACCAAATGAAAGGACATCAGACTGTTTACTTCTCCAGAAATAAAGGAAACAAAGAATCTCGTCTTTGAACTCGAGGGAAGCGTATCTGAGAAAATGACAACAGCACGTTCTTTTTGGAGTGAAGTATTATACAAAAGGAAGTCAACACAGCTGTGTAATGCTGAGAAAAGCAGAAAGGATAGATAGGATTGTGTTATGTGTATAGATTTTCAGCTTTTTGAGGCCTCCAGTCTTCAACAGGGGACCTGCTTTTATGTACTTATTTACTATTGTTTTTGTTTTCTCTCCTTCTCTCCCACACTCTGCTTCCTTCCTTCTCATAAAACCTGCCCAGGATTTTATCACTGGCTGCAGTTGTGCAAATGTCTGCCAGCACACACTTCAGACTCTCGGCCTTGCTACCATTATGTGTGGTTGTCAATTCGTCACGCTCCTGCTGCTTCTTTAAATATCAGCTGCAACAGTAGCAAAATTCACACACACAGAGAGAGAGAGAGAGAGAGAGAGAGAGGTTAAAATGGCAGCCATCCATCACTGCTGCCACCACCTTAGGTCAGGTCATGACCTAGCCATTGAAGACTAATAGCATAGATAGTTTGTGTCTGCTGCAGATGGATTCCATGGGTGCCTGCTGCTGTTGCATAGAAGTAAATGAATATGGGTATGCATAAGACTTTCCCCTTCCCTTCTGAACTCATTTTGCACAGCAAGACCAATGCTTTTGCAAACAGCAGTAACAATTGCGTCAAGGACATTGCTGCATAACTTTTCCTTGTTGGGGCAGACGTTGCTAGTTTGAAAGAAACATACCTCTCCCTCCAAAAACGTTATTTGGCATTAAAATGCATTCATTCTGGAGTTTTCTCCTTTCACCTCTCTGTGATGGGTTTTGCTTTATCCCCCCCCCCCCCCTGTCCTCCCTCCCTCTCTCTCTCTTAGCAGAAGATGCCAATTCAATTGGCAGGGTTTTTTTTTTTTTTAAGTTCACGATTCACAACTGGCAGCCTTTTCAGTGGTGCTCTCAGAAGATGGTAATTAGACAGCTTCCAAAAAGAAGTGGTATTTTCCATCTCTTCATCCACAATTTGATCAGATAGAGTCCCTGAGGCAGCAAAGTGGTTTAATGCTCCCTTCAAGCCAATTAAGCGCAACAGGTGCTGAACGGATGCAATAAAACGAGTGCCAATGTGAGACCGGATGTCGGATGACATGGGGACAGTGATCCTTTCTGCCCTTCACAAGGTTATTGGAAGGTGATTAAAGAGGACTGTGTAGGCACACCGTACACTAAGCAGGCAAGAAATGGCCCTGGTGGGTGAGTATAAAGATTAGGACTGCAGCCCTGCACATGCACACACTGGCCGCAACCCAACCAGAGGGTCGAGTGCCGTGGAGTTAAATTTTCCCCATTCCATTTTGCCTTCTGCAGGTGACCGGCTCTGGTTCTCATCTAATTGTCCATACATAATTTTTCTAATTAATTATAGAACCAAAGCATGCTGTTCCTGCTGCTTTCTGTTCCTTTCATCTATTCACAGGCAGGGTTTGGGGGAGGGGGTGTATTTGGCCTCTAGCTAAACTGGGCATGGCCCTGACCTGGATGGCCCAGGATAGCCCGATCAATCTCGGAAGCTAAGCAGGATCGGCTCTGGATGGGAGACCACCAAGGAAGTCCATGGTTGCTCTGCAAAGGCAGGCAATGTAACAGTCTGTCTCTTGCCTTGAAAATCCTATAGGGTTGCCAGAAGTCAGCTGTGATTTGACAGCACTTTCCGTCCAAGCTGTGCATACAAGGGATCATGAAACTTCATGTGCCTGTTTTTGGTGAACATGCATTCATGCATGTGATCACAACAATGGTCTCTGTTGTGAGTGTCAAGCATACATGCACATGAGCGTGGAGGTAAATGCAGTCTCCTATGCCCTCCTTGGAACCGCAGGCAGAATTCCTTGTGAGACTTTTTGCACGGTGGATTCATGTGCAAAGGGGCTCTTTGATAGTGTCCTGCCAGAGGTGGGCTTAAGCCTTGGCAATGGTGGAAACTGGCAGCCTGGCTCCACATTACGCAGTCCAGTTCTGCAGCCCAGAGACACACTGTCACAGTGCCTGTCATCTGCTAGGTGAGTCAAGGAAGTGCTTGATCTCCCTTTGGGTGCCTCACCTCTAATGCACACTAAGAGCTAACCTTTAAATGGGACTCAACCTGCGTGACATTACATCACTGCATCCCCCCCCCCCTTCATATAGCCTTGTAATCAGGAGGGGAATTTCTTTTTCCAAGATTCACTTTTTTAGACAGCAATTGAGTCCCCTTATTCTTTCCCCTCTTTTGAAAGCGGCATTTCTCTTTCTCTTTGAAGAGAGATCAATGCTCCCTTTTGTAACTTTTGCTCTTGCAGTTGTTTTAAGTCACACACCCTACATGGGTGGTGCTCTAGCAGGAAGGCAGGAAGGTTTGGGAAGACGCTGCCTGCCTCTGAGCATCTACACACTGGGATTCTGAAATTTTGCCGAACCTTCCATCCTTCCCCTCCTCTCTTCAAATGTCAATGTTAGCAAAACAGAACTGATTAGAAACAGGCTCTGAATTCCTAAAACGGGGGGAGGGGGGCTAATCGTTAGATTTTAGGGAGACATGGGGTGATTCTGCACTAGACCTTAAATCCTGGTTCAGCCCTGTCCCCGAACTTACAATTCTAGACTACACTCGAGTTCACCCCTGTAATTATCTTGGGGTATTTTTTTTGTTTCCACATTACATTGAGGTCACCCCGGCTTCGCCCCACTCTTGTCCCGGGAAAAACAGATGCTCATATAACCAGGGATAAATGCAAGGTACTGTGTCCCGAGTTGAACTCTGATAAAACCAGGGATGAGATCCAAGTGCGGAAAGGACCATGGAGAATTTTGCTTTACAATGCTATTGTTAGATTTCAGGGCGAAATTGAGAATTTCTCTTAACGCTATTCTTACTTGATCAATTGACTCGTTTGAACAGATCTGCAAAAAGGGGGAAACCTTCAATGCATAATATGCAACTGAAACAATGCACAAGAGACTGTGTTGAATTATAATAGGCAATGCACAAAATTTTACTAGATCTTAACTATATGTTTGCTAACTATACCATTAAAACATTGCGTTCAGCACAACAACATCATATGCACAATAATGAAAAGCAGGGTGGAGTGTCGCTGTAATATCCAAATGGATCCACTTACATCATGCCTCATATTCAATGGGAGGCCAGTTAGCGATCTCATTTCATAGGAATTTTGTCACAGGCGCTATAATCACTAAGTTCCTGCTACATATAGCAAATGACAAAAGGAATGTGAGATGGCTCTAATGCTATGTGATTATAATACTTAGTAAAATACCATCCTCATTCAGGAATTTAGATTAGTTAGGGACCATCTAATAAGGATCTGAAGCCGCTGCTGCAAGAGGATTTATTAACAACAGTTACTGAGCAGAGTTATACCATTCTAAAGTTGCACTTCTGCACCAATAGCCTTAACTATAGTTTTGTATGATATAGGAATGCAAACATCCTAGCTTGTTCCCCAGCACTGTCTTCACACACTTCTTTGCCACAGAGATGCCTAAACAGGCAATAGGACAACAGTGCAATAAAGCATCTGGATCAACAAATGGATTTGAAGGTTTGCCTGCATCTGAATCCTGATTAAGCATCTGAAACTCTCTTACACTGAGCCACACCATTGATCCAACCAGCTCTGTATTGCCTACTATGGCCAGCAGCCCCTCTCCAGGGTGTCATGGAAGAGAGAGAGGTCTTTCACATGACCAGCTGACATCCTTTAACTGGAACTGCCAGAGAATGAACCTGGGACCTTCTGTGTGCAAAGCAGGTATTGATCCCACTATGGCCTCTAGGTACACAAACGTACCATAGTAAACATTTAAAGGTGGTTTCATGTTGTGATTCAACTGAAGTTACAAGTCTCCTTTGCATAGGGAAGGTTTCTCCACTAGTATGCATCTCCCCTCCTTCAGGATTTTCTGCACGCTCAACTTACTCTTCATTTTCTTGGGAGTGGATCCACGGGTATTGGAATTAGTTTGGGCACAGTTCTTCTGCACATGTGCTCTCCCTGTGCTTTTTCACAGTGGCAGAGTCAGTTTATGTTCTTCCACATGTGCCTTCAATAATGAGGATTTTCAAGGGAGGGTACTGTCATCATTGGCAGTATCATTGGTGGCATCACAGTACCCCCCCCACCTTCAAAAAAGGCACTAAAATATTGATATATTGCTGGAGCATTTTATTAACAGGCTTAGAGGGTTCTCTGAATTCCCAGGTTTCATTTTTTTTTAAAGGCTCTATGCCCTTCCCTCATGGATATATAAGGGAAAAGGCATATATCTGCAAGGGAAGAGGATAGAGACACTGTTTTTTTAAAAAATGACAGTTCACATAAATATTTGGGGTGAGTTATGGTTCCAAAATGGAGAAGGGTCAGGGTTTGCATCATGTGATGCTTGAATGCAGGAGGCAGAGAGACTGCTGGGTATTTTAATGCACAAACTGTAATAAAGATTAGGATGCCCAGACCAAGCAGTTTAAAATGGGCAGTTCGCATAGGCGTAATCTTTGTGGGGGCGGTGGGGCGTCAGCCCCCGCCAAAATTTTCAGGAAGGTGCTTAGCCTCCCCCGGGAGCCACCCTTGCTCCTAGCAAAGCAATGCCTCTGTCCCAGCCCCACCCCCCCCACCCCCGGGAAATTGGAAAGTCTACACCCTTGGGCAGTTGAGCACTAATATTTAGTTGTGCATTGTCATCTGAGTGTACCATACTGTGTCCAGAGGCAATTTGTATTTTTCATATTTAAGTACATTTATCACATTAAATACACTTCTCACATTAACATTTTGAAACAACATTGCTTCTAATGCCAGTCGTACCCACCCCCAAGAACATTATCCATTGCAATCCAAACAGTTATAAAGTAAGTGTAAAGGGACATGAAGATTAAGGGCCTGATCCATCATGAGATTCTCCTGCTGTTGTGGAAGTTG